GAGCAGCTGTCAGTGTAATTGTGAAATACAATGTTGCATTGAGATCAGGGGCGGTACCTTTGGATCGGCAGACTGGGATGGTGGTTCCCATTTTTGATAAAGGGGACCGGGGGGGCTGTGCTTCAACTATAGGGGGATCACACGCCTCAGCCTCCCTGGCCAAATCTATGCCAGGGTGCTGCCATCTGTTAGTTCAAGCTTGGATACAGGAGGAACAATGTGGTTTTCGTCCCAGTTGTGGAACACTCGACCGGCACTTTAGTCTTTTGAAGATACTCGTGGGATCATGTGAGTTTGCCCAACCAGTGTCTTTTGTGGACTTGGAATAGGCATTCAACCCTGTCCCTCGCAGTGTCCTGTGGGAGGTGGTTCAGGAGTAAGGGGTGTCTGGCCCACTGCTACGAGTGCTTTATACAACCATTGCAAGAACTTGGTCCACATAGCTGGGAATAAGTCGGACTCATTTCCAGGGGGCAGCCCTGGTGGAATTCAGGGCTGCCCTTTATTACCGATTCTGTTCATAATTTTTATAGATAGAATTTCCAGGCGTAGCCAAGTGGCGGAAGACTTCCACTTGGATGGTGTGAGAATCTCATGTCTGCTTTTTGCAGGTGTTCTGACTCTGTTGGCTTCATCGGGTGACTGCCTCTAGCTCACTCTGGAGCAGTTTGCAGTGGAGTGTGAAGCCAGAAAAAGGTGGCATACCCACTCCGGCTCAGGAAAGAGTTCATACCCCAAGTGGAAGACTTTAAGTATCTTGGGGCCTTGTTTAAGCATTAGGGGAGAATGAAGTGGGAGATCAACAGGGGAATTAGTGCTGCGTCTGTAGTGATGCGGACTGGCTGACTCAACAGAGCTCTGAATTTTTGTCAGCCTGGCTACAGGGCTGAAGAGTAAGATGTTCTAGTTTTATGGATTTTATCTTATAAATATTTTGAGAGAAGCTAGTTGAGTCCAATAACAGATCAAATGCCATGTTGAGGCTGTCATTTTTTGCATCAACATGGATGTTAAAATCATCCACAATAATGAAGAAGTCTTCAAGGTAATTATCATGGTGAAGTTTGCTTTAATAGATTATAAAGACAGAATTATAAAGAAAGAAGCCATTTTTATTTTGCAGTCCTGAGTTTTCATTATTACACATATGTAAAAATAATAATAATAATAATAATTCTAATGCACAAGTGTTAGTATTTTATTGCTAGCAGGTTGTAGTATTTTTTAATCAATGTATTATTCCATATATTTCAGTGTAATATTTCTCTACATGTCATTGTAATAGTGATAATCCATATTATTTGTTAATTGTATATTATGCTAATTAAATAACTTCCTATTTCTATATTATTACCTTCCTTTCCCCATCTTATTATTATCTCTGTTATTTATTATTACATCCTTATTAGCAAGCTATAATAGAATGGGTACTTAAATATTTACATATGCGTCCACTCAATTTCTTCTGATATTTAATTAAGGGTTCTGGGGTTTAGCTGACCCAGTCTGTCAAAGTCTTTTATAGTAAGTTATATTATGTAAAAGATTTGTCATCCAGTTTATGCCAATCATCATGGAATTTGAGATACTGTGTTTTTTTGTTCTCTCTTTTTCCTTTCCTTTTTTGTAAGCAACTTTTGCAGGTTCCTACATCCACTTGTTCAGCAAATTGTGGTAAAGGCCAGGTCCACAGAGTCAAAGGCTTCCATTCCTGCTGCTTTGACTGTATTGACTGTTTGGCAGGCACCTACCAGGCAAATAAGGGTAATGTGTTCGGCCACTCTTATCTGAGATATGTGTCCTTATTTGCTTATTTGCATCCTTGTCAAGAGAA